TTCGGTGCACAGACAGAGAAATCCCTCTCTCCACGGCTTTTTAAACGAGCATTGGGAACAGCTAGGAGGAGCTTATCTTCAGACCTGAGAGCTCGCGGCGGGTTGTAGTAATGGACCAGTTCACACAGATATGGAGGAGCTTGATGGTTCAAGGATTTGTAAGTCAGAAGCATAATTTTGAAGTTTATCCTGAACTGCACGGGCAACCAGTGGAGAGATTTCAGAATTGGAGAAATGTGTTGTCTTCTGTCAGCTCCAGTCAGCAACCTAGCTGCTGAATTCTGGACCAGCTGAAGTCTAGAAAGAGCTGCTTTACTGATGCCGTATAAGCAGGAGCGAGTAATCCAGCCTTGAGGTGATGAAAGATTGTACACCTGCACAGGACAGGGATGAGACAATCTATAATACACACACACACACACACACTTACATGCACGCACACACACTTACACGCACACACACACACACACACACACACGCACGCACGCACGCACGCACACACACACACACACACACACACATATGCATGCACGCACACACACACACATATGCATGCACACACGCACATGCACACGCATACACACACACACACTTACATGCACGCACACACACACACACACTTACATGCACGCACACACACTTAAGCCTGATTTATGCTTCTCCGTCTGCGTCAGTGCGGAGACACGCAACGCCATTATCCGTCCTTGCGTAGGGCACGCAAGTACGTACGGAGTCGAGCCCACTTTTTTAAACATCCGTCGAACGAGACGGATTACGCAAGCTTGTGATTGGTCAGGACGCCGCTGTTGTTTACAGCGCCGCCATTGCAAAGAGAGCCGAGGATAACTAGCGGCAGACACGGAGAAGCTTGAAGAATACCTCGCGAAAAAACTCTAAAAACATGAACGTTTAATTCTCCCGTGACTGGAGGAGTGAAAAGATGCGCAGCAAGCGTTTTATTTGTGGACGGAAATAACAGGAAACGTGGGTTTAGAGGTGGGGAGCGCATGAAGCGGTGGGAGAATGAGAGACAAATATGTCCGTGTTAAAAGTCTCTTATATACACAAAAAACACAAAATAAACACACGATCTTGGACCGATACATGACAGGATACCAAAGAACAGCGCTATGCCCTCTGTTGTCCTGCCGGGCAATTGCTTTGCAACGCTCTCCAGGAGACGGAGAAGTAAAAGAGCAAAATGCTTCCGTCAATCCGTGCGTGTCTGTCCCTTGCGGAGCTGACGGAGAAGCATAAACCAGGCACGCACACACACACACACACACACACTTACATGCACGCACACACACTTACACGCACACACACACACACACACACGCACGCACGCACACACACACACACACACATATGCATGCACGCACACACACACACACATGCATGCACACACGCACATGCACACGCATACACGCACACACTTACATGCACGCACACACACTTACACGCACACACACACACACACACACACACACTTACATGCACGCACACACACTTACACGCACACACACACACACACACACACACACACACACACACATGCAAGCACACACCCACGCACACACACGCACGCACACACACGCACGCACGCGCACACAGAACATTAATATTTAAGTGCATGGATTAATACATCTGAACTCATGCAGTAGGAACTAGGAAATATGAAATACTAGAACCAGACACAACTTTATACATATCTTAATTTGATTAAACTGATTTTTTTCTTAGTGTTCTTGACATTTTCCCACACAAAGTTAAACAAAACAATGTTGATTAAGGTGTGTGTGTGTGTGTGTGTGTGTGTGTGTGTCTGAGAGAGATAGAGAGGGTGAGAGGGAGAGAGATGAAGTTAAAAAAATAAAAAAAACCCGACCGGAGCGGATCTAGTGACTACAGCACGTCAGCTGTCTTGTCAAATGCACCATGTAAGTTACGAAAAAAGTAACTGAAAAAGAGGCGAGCTGAGGAAAACCTAGGGAAAACTGAAGAAACGTGAGCAACAGTGAAGCAATCACAGCGAGATCCATTACTGTCTGTGTGTGTGCGTGGATGAGCCGGACGGACTGCGCTCCCGGCCGGCTAGAGAGTTTTGTGTGTAGGGAGGGGCGGGCGCTCTATGTTACTGGCCAGAGCGTGAAGACAGTCAGTTACCCAATGATGATTTTCCTTCAGCACGATTACAGATATTTACGAGGTTTACTCGTTTCATGCTCGTATTCATCAAAAATGCTTTATCCGTACCGGATTCTCGTCTGAAACGAGTATCCGGCTCGTCCCTACTAAGAAGTACACTATGATATCAGCTAGTACATTATGAGGTCACAATGTCGTGTGTGTGTGTGTGTGTGTGTGTGTATTTGTTAGCGGCTTCGCCCTTTCAGTCTGCCAGGCAACAGCATTTTTTGCATTTTTCAAACAGGAAGTGGGAGTGGAGTAAGACTCTGGCAGGGGGTGACTTGCTCTTTAAAGACACTTGATAGTTAACAATATTGGGAATGTTAATAAAGGGATTCTTTGTTTATTAATGGTTAATGCACCAAGCAATGTTAATTATGGGATCCTTTTTGTAAAGTGTTACCTGACTTTGAAGTCAAAATTGAAAACATTCATGTATTCATCAGCCTTTGAATGAATGTTTCTTACGCTGCCCCTTCTGCTCTGTAACTGCTCCCCTTCTGCTCTGTAACTGCTCCCCTTCTGCTCTGTAACTGCTCCCCTTCTGCTCTGTAACTGCTCCCCTTCCGCTCTGTACCTGCTCCCCTTCCGCTCTGTAGCTGCTCCCCTTCTGCTCTGTAACTGCTCCCATTCTGCTCTGTAACTGCTCCCCTTCCGCTCTGTAACTGCTCCCCTTCCGCTCTGTAACTGCTCCCCTTCCGCTCTGTACCTGCTCCCCTTCTGCTCTGTAGCTGCTCCCCTTCTGCTCTGTAACTGCTCCCCTTCTGCTCTGTAACTGCTCCCCTTCCGCTCTGTACCTGCTCCCCTTCTGCTCTGTAGCTGCTCCCCTTCTGCTCTGTAACTGCTCCCCTTCTGCTCTGTAACTGCTCCCCTTCCGCTCTGTAACTGCTCCCCTTCCGCTCTGTAACTGCTCCCCTTCCGCTCTGTACCTGCTCCCCTTCTGCTCTGTAGCTGCTCCCCTTCTGCTCTGTAACTGCTCCCCGTCCGCTCTGTAACTGCTCCCCTTCCGCTCTGTACCTGCTCCCCTTCTGCTCTGTAACTGCTCCCCTTCTGCTCTGTAACTGTTCCCCTTCTGCTCTGTAACTGCTCCCCTTCCGCTCTGTAACTGCTCCCCTTCTGCTCTGTAACTGCTCCCCTTCCGCTCTGTAACTGCTCCCCTTCTGCTCTGTAACTGCTCCCCTTCCGCTCTGTAACTGCTCCCCTTCCGCTCTGTAACTGCTCCCCTTCTGCTCTGTAACTGCTCCCCTTCTGCTCTGTAACTGCTCCCCTTCTGCTCTGTAACTGCTCCCCTTCCGCTCTGTAACTGCTCCCCTTCTGCTCTGTAACTGCTCCCCTTCCGCTCTGTAACTGCTCCCCTTCTGCTCTGTAACTGCTCCCCTTCTGCTCTGTAACTGCTCCCCTTCTGCTCTGTAACTGCTCCCCTTCTGCTCTGTAACTGCTCCCCTTCTGCTCTGTAACTGCTCCCCTTCCGCTCTGTACCTGCTCCCCTTCCGCTCTGTAGCTGCTCCCCTTCTGCTCTGTAACTGCTCCCCTTCTGCTCTGTAACTGCTCCCCTTCTGCTCTGTAACTGCTCCCCTTCCGCTCTGTAACTGCTCCCCTTCCGCTCTGTACCTGCTCCCCTTCTGCTCTGTAGCTGCTCCCCTTCTGCTCTGTACCTGCTCCCCTTCCGCTCTGTAACTGCTCCCCTTCCGCTCTGTACCTGCTCCCCTTCTGCTCTGTAACTGCTCCCCTTCTGCTTTGTAACTGCTCCCCTTCTGCTCTGTAACTGCCCCCCTTCTGCTCTGTAACTGCTCCCCTTCTGCTCTGTAACTGCTCCCCTTCCGCTCTGTAACTGCTCCCCTTCCGCTCTGTAACTGCTCCCCTTCCGCTCTGTAACTGCTCCCCTTCCGCTCTGTAACTGCTCCCCTTCTGCTCTGTAACTGCTCCCCTTCTGCTCTGTAACTGCTCCCCTTCCGCTCTGTAACTGCTCCCCTTCTGCTCTGTAACTGCTCTCCTTCTGCTCTGTAACTGCTCCCCTTCTGCTCTGTAACTGCTCCCCTTCTGCTTTGTAACTGCTCCCCTTCTGCTCTGTAACTGCTCCCCTTCCGCTCTGTAACTGCTCACCTTCCGCTCTGTAACTGCTCCCCTTCTGCTCTGTAACTGCTCACCCTTTAACTTTGCTTTTTATCAGATTCTTAAATCTGAAATCAATTTGTGTTTGATCTAATTGTATTTGTGTATTTTAATAATACATTAATGATGATTTTAATGTTCATGTATTCTTGTCACCGGAAAGCACACTAAAATACATTTGTGTGTGAAATGTGCTTTACAAATAAAGCTGCCTTGCTTTTAATGGCTGTTGACTTGTTTAAATGTTTGTTGGTTTTTTTGAGAAAAAAAAACAACAACCAAAAAAATTTCTTAACTACTTTAGTTTTATGAGCAAACGAGCAAGAATTCTTGACTGTCGTGCTTGAGTTTTCCTTACATGGAAACAGAATGTGATAAAGCAGCAGCCGGTTGCCAGCAGGGATGACGACGGTGTTTATAAGTATCAGAACCTCCGACATCCTCACCCCATCCGTTAACTCTGAGTTCATCTCTGCAGCATGAGTAACACGTTCACATGGAAACCCTGTTTGTGACTTTCCTTGAGCTTGGTCACACTTTAGTCAGACAAGACAGGAGAGAGTCGGGAGGGTGAAAGGATGTCTGTTCAGACAGTCACATGACATCACTGTGTGTGTGTGTGTGTGTGTGTGTGTGTGTGTGTGTGTGTGTGTGTGTGTGTGTGTGTGTGTGTGTGTGTGTGTGTGTGTGTGTGTGTGTGTGTGGGAGGAAGGAAGGATAAAAGGACTGTTACGTCTCCAGTTACACTGCACTCTCTCAGGTTTTCAGACTCAAACAGCAGTAGAAACCAGAGCACAACCAGCATTTTACCATCTGAATCCCCCAGAAGCAAAAGGTAGGACCCACAGAACCACAGCTGTTAAGATTTGAGTGATTTGTTTTATTACAGTTTGTAAAAGAGGCCATGTGTGTTTCAGCAGTTTAGTAAGTGAGAGTTCTGCTCGGAGAAGGCTTCAGTGTTTAGAGGCGTGGGTGGGTCCATAGATGCAAACAGGATTTAGGATGAATGTCGTGTGTTTCACAAAGACTCAAACTGGACCTGAGTAGGTTAACGTAGGTAAACAGGGAGAAGCAGGAAAAACAAATAAAGGTAAACTTTGGTTAAGTTGCTTAGGTCTAGGATCGTGCACATCTGGTTTAGTCCTATTGTTAAGAACAGTCAGTAAAAATAACGCTACAAGGCTTTTATTTTGAAATATACCTAAAATCTGTCTCACTTCCTGTCTGGCTCATGTAATTTTTAATTTTATGACAATCTGTGTTCGGTGTCTGGAAGAAAGTGGACTCCATGTGGAAACTTTCAGCAGCGTTCCAGAGCCGGTGTGAATGCGCTGATTCAGCTCGGTTCTGTTTGGTTGATGTGGGCACCAGACTGCATCTGCTCCACACTCTGCACCCTTTTGGGCCAAGGCCAGGACGTTTCAACACCAGTTATAGAGGGTCTGAATCAGATGTCACTGCTCCTCAATATCCCCTATCCAGCCTGTTTTAGATGTTTCCCTGTTTCAACACTTCTGATTGAAATCAGCGGTAATTCTGCAGAGCTTTTGGTGAACATGTGATTCAGCCAGTGAATCAGCAGGGAAACATCTAAAACGTGTTGGATTTCGACGACAAGGGTTTCTCGGCTCAAATGGACAAACACTTAGGAGAAAAAGCAGCAGTAGCTTGAAACTACTTGGGTACTACTTAGCCCCTTGACTTACCCTCCCACATAAATCCTCCACAGGGTTAGTGTTGGTCAGGGTCCAACACCTCAGAACCACGACCCAGAACATATTGTATCTAACTTCAAACCAACGTCAGTAATTTTTTCATTTCTGTTCTTCTTCCAGCATGGTTTTTGTACGTGTTCTCCTGTTGGTGGCTCTAAGTCACGGGGCGCGAGGCTCTCTGCGGGAAAAACAGACTGACTTTGGCCTGAAGGTCTTCTCTCAGCTGGCCCAGGGTTCTGTGCACCAGAACTTGGTCTTCTCCCCATATGGTGTGACCAGCGTCATGGCAATGGCCCAGCTCGGTGCAAATGGGAACACACTCAAGGCCCTGACCACTACTCTGGGCTTTTCTCTGCACGGTGAGTGGCTTAAACAAAGTATGTCTAAAACGCTCTTGTTGGGGGACTGGAAGCTGCAGCCAGGTGTAGCCAGAGAGATCAAAGACCCGCACAACACTGGGCCTGTGGCAGAAGCACCCAGGTGGATCATTAGTACATCTACTTGAAGTCCCTGTTTGATCCGGTCATACATTTAAGGCCCATTTAGAATATCCTGTGGAAGTGGTCACTTTTAGTAAATTGTCAGTAGAATATAAAGATGTTCAATAAAATAAAATATTCCATAAAAATATGGATTATCAATATTATTGAGCCTTTGATATTCGATTGATGATGAAACAAGGTAATTTGGGTGACGTCAGGGAAACAACACTTTATAATAATTTGACACAGAGGCAAAAATATTGTTTATAAAAATCTATTTATTTTACCTCTCATCACTGCCTTTCCTGCCTCCCAGAGAACAGGTGCTGATGTTCCAGGCAGGTCATTATGTTCTAAATGTAAAGCCCACTCCTTTTTAAAAAAATCTATAAAACCTTCATCTATAAGCTGTGATGCATTAAACCTCCAGTTTTTGCTTGGTGGGATTGTGTTTTTGTTTACCAGAGTTAAAGAAACCGGAGCACGGTCGCTGACAACTGTGGGGTGTATCTCAGTGTCTGACCTGTCAGCCAACAATGAGCTGCTGACTAGAAAATAATCTAGCACGCAGCATTCCTGGCAGAGGAAACCCGTCGGACACTTGAATGTCTGTTGACCTCTGACATTGCTGAGGCACGCTGGGAACAAAGGACCTTGCTGGACTTCTCCAACGCCACACCTGTTGTCTGGGCACGCATTTTTAGAACGACTTTGGAAAAAAACAACAGATTATTTTTCTCTACTACTTAATAAGATAGCTGACTAGTGTTGTCAAAAAAATCGATACCTAGATATAAATCAATGCTAAAAGTGGTATCTAAATTAGATATTACATCCCTGTGGTATCGATATTATGGACTATTATACACAGCCTTCTTCAAGTACACCGACACGCACGACAGCCAGATGCCGTAAAGCAGCCTCCGCCTCCCAGACAAACAGAAGAAGAAGACGCCGCATGGCTACATAGCAATTTCCCACGCGAGTTGTCTCCGATCCAAGTTTTGTCTGCCAAATAAATAAACAAAAACATAAACAGCGAATTTGGGAGGCGCTTCACAGTCCAACTTAATTAGCATACCAAGTCCGACACGTAGTTGTATATTCACGCTTATGTGCTTAAAGGAAACTCCCGTTTATTGCTACCCGGACTTAATTTCTAGCATGCAGTACGTTTGTTTACTCACGCTGACAACTTTGGTGCTACTTGGATTCCCCGGGGTATTTAGATCCATCGGCGAATCGCCATCAGCGTATATCCATATAACGGGTGCGGACGGGCACCCATGGTGCAGCCTCGAAATAAGACATTATCTGCACCAAAACATCTCAATGTCGAAAGGTTTTGTTAGGAATCATTAATGTGATTCCCCTGTTCGTTTGGAGCGGGTCTGGTCTGGGATTTCTAGGCGTAAACAGACTAGCCGCGGCTAATCTAGCCGGCGCTTTTAATGACGTCACTGCCGTGCGCCCATCTGTATTTATTAAGATTACCGGTAGATGTACCTTTGTCCTACTGTGGAGAAATTCGTTTTCTCCCTTTATTGACCAACAGAGTTGTTCAAAAGTACAGAACAAAACATATGGCATTACAGCTTATGACAAAAATGCACCTTAAACAGAGTTTGAGCAGCAAAACATCGCTCTGCAAATAGTGTATATATAGTGAGACAATTCATGATTTAAAGTGTTAACTTTCACCAGTTTTTGTATGCACGTTTGAAAAAATGCTGATACTTGAAAGGTTTAAGCACTTTACACACTTAATTCTTAACATTTAATTTTTGCAATATAAATTGAGGAATGTTATTTTTTGAATAAACTTGTTCAATAAATTGGTGTTTTTAAATAGTATCGAAATCGAGTACCGAGTTTTTTTTCAAGTATCGAATCGAGTTTGAAATTTTAGTATCGTGACAACCCTATAGCTGACTTCTTGCGGTGAGGTGGCAGTGCTGACCAACTGAACGTCCATTCAGCCTCAAACAAAAACTCACCAAACAGAAACATCAACAGCCACTGTGAGCATAAAACCAACTCTGCTTGTTTTACAGAGCGGGGGGTGCCTAAGCAGCAGCGGCACATGCAGATGGATCTGGCCAGTGAAGAGGGGATGAAGATCGCCAGCGGGGTGATGGTGGAGAGAAAGATGAGCTTAGAGAAGAGATATCGTCGAGCCCTGGCCAAGAGCTTCCAAACCCATCCCCATCAAGTGGACTTCACTGAGCCGGACCAGGCTATCAGAGTGATTAATGCATGGGTTTCGGATCACACTGCAGGTACCCCCCCCCCCCCCCACCACCACCACCACCACCAACAGGCAATTTCAGATCTGATGGCTAAAGGTTGTCAACACAAAACCGATGACTTACACAAGTTGCAAAACCAAGAAACACAGCAAAAGTCACATCTTTGGATGGGTATTCACTTAGTGTCAGTGTAGTTAGTAGTCAATGGATGCACGTTTAAACTGCATTTCAGACATCGAATCCTGGACGGCAGAGAACTTTCTCCAGCTCAACCAGGACAAAACTGAAGTTTTAGTCATTGGTCCTGAGGCCCAGAGAGAGAAGCTTTTACCAAAATTACAATCTCTGTCTTTTAATCCTTCTGAACAAGTGAAGAACCTGGGCGTGATGTTTGACTCTGAGCTGACTTTTATCCCCCACATTAAAAACATCACCAAAATAGGTTTTTATCATCTGAAGAATATCGCCAGAGTCCGCCCCATTCTCTCTCGGGCCAATAAGGAGATGCTGATGCGTGCTTTTATCTCCAGTAGGATAGACTACTGCAATGCCCTGCTTTCTGGTCTTCCCAAAAAGAGCATCTCAGGCTTACAACTTCTACTAAACTCAGCAGCACGTGTCCTGATGAAGACCAGGAGGCGGGAGCACATTACACCGGTTTTAGAATCGCTGCATTGGCTCCCCGTATGTTTCAGGATAAATTTTAAGGTTCTTCTAATGGTTTTTAAGTGTCTTAATGGTCTCGGGCCTTCTTATCTCTCAGAACTGCTTTTACCGTATGAACCCTCACGGCCTCTGCGCTCCTCTGGCAGGCGTCTCCTGGTCATCCCTAAAGTCAGGACACACACTCACGGCGAGGCGTCCTTCCAGTGTTATGGCCCTCGCCTCTGGAACGAGCTGCCAGAGGACCTCAGGGCCGCAGAGAACGTTCATGTTTTTAAGTCCAGGCTCAAGACCCCTCTTTTTAGGTTAGCTTTTAGCTAAATATTTACTACAGTTTTATTTCTCGTTTTACATGATTCAATTTTAGCACAGTTTCATTATTTAATATTATTATTTTACTGTCTATATGATTTTATTTATTACTTACTTTCTAACTTTTGTCCCTTATATTACCTCTTTTGTTTTCATATTTTTACTCATTTTAGTCCAGTTTCCTCTGTAGGGGCCCTCTGCCCCAGGGGCGGGGGTCGACTGTAGCTTCCTGGGCGCTCTACAGGTGGCGTTTAAGTGGAGGTGGGGGTCTATGCTCCCCCTCCACTGAGCGCCCTGACTTAGTGTGGAAGACCTGATGCTGCTGGGGCAGACGGCTCCTCTGATGGCGTTTCCTTGCCTTACCTTACTTGGCTCATCTGGACTCAGCCAAATATAAAATTTTTATTGATGTGTGTGTGTGTGTGTGTGTGTGTGTGTGTGTGTGTGTGTGTGTGTGTGTGTGTGTGTGTGTGTGTGTGTGTGTGTGTGTGTGTGTGTGTGTGTGTGTGTGTGTGTGTGTGTGTGTGTGTGTGTGTGTGTGTGTGGTCAGACATTTAAGAAACAGATCCAGGAACGAGTGCTACAGCTAGAATAGATGTGAAAGGAGGGCGAGAGTTTAAAGGTGTGATCTAAACAACACAGAGATGGTCTAAAAGAATCTAGGCAGAAAGGGCTAGCTGAAGACAATAAATTAATCAAATACAACAACAGTTTCTAAATGGTGTTACCTTTACTTACAGGTGCTATTCCTGAGTTCTTGTCATCTGGAAGTCTAGATGCTGAGACACGATTGGTCTTCCTAAATGCTCTCTACTTCAATCAGCTCTGGAAGGTTTCTTTTGACCCCAAACTGACCCAGGAGAGGATGTTCCACTGTGCAAATGGAAGTAATTTGCCTGTGCGCATGATGAAACTCACTGATTACTTCAACTACGGTAAGCTGAACTTTGACCCCTCAAACTTCTCAACCAATGCCACAGAGGACATACCTGATCGCAACTATGTTTACGTCTTCTTGGTTCCAGGGGAGTTTGTGAGTTCTGATGGGGTGGACTATGATGTGATTGAGATACCATATGAAAAGGACTCGATGAGCATACTTCTGGTGTCGCCCTTTGAAGCCGAGGTTCCTTTGAGCGCACTCATTGCTGATCTGAGCAGCCGGAGGATTCAGCAGTGGAGGTCAGAAATGAGGAAGGTCAGGAGAGAGCTGATGGTGCCAAGGTGAGGAAGATTTGGTTTGACTGCACTGCTTTAGGTTTGCCTGTCAGAAAGCAACAGAACCCTACTCTTGTGGAGAATAGGGTTCTGTTAGTGACCTCAAAGGTTTCTTTCCCTCTCCAGTACAGACTTAAAAGAGATGCTATATAACAGTCTAACTGGAGATTTAACAGAGACGCCTTTTAAGACTGTAACTGGAGATTTAACAGAGACACTTTATAACAGTGTAACTGGAGACTTAACAGAGACACTTTATAACACTGTAACTGGAGACTTAACAGAGACACTTTATAACACTGTAACTGGAGATTTAACAGAGACACTTTATAACAGTGTAACTGGAGACTTAACAGAGACACTTTATAACACTGTAACTGGAGATTTAACAGAGACACTTTATAACAGTGTAACTGGAGACTTAACAGAGACACTTTATAACACTGTAACTGGAGATTTAACAGAGACACTTTATAACAGTGTAACTGGAGACTTAACAGAGACACTTTATAACACTGTAACTGGAGATTTAACAGAGACACTTTATAACAGTGTAACTGGAGACTTAACAGAGACACTTTATAACAGTGTAACTGGAGATTTAACAGAGACACTTTATAACAGTGTAACTGGAGACTTAACAGAGACACTTTATAACACTGTAACTGGAGATTTAACAGAGACACTTTATAACAGTGTAACTGGAGACTTAACAGAGACACTTTATAACACTGTAACTGGAGATTTAACAGAGACACTTTATAACAGTGTAACTGGAGACTTAACAGAGACACTTTATAACACTGTAACTGGAGATTTAAAAGAGACACTTTATAACAGTGTAACTGGAGACTTAACAGAGACACTTTATAACAGTGTAACTGGAGATTTAACAGAGACACTTTATAACAGTGTAACTGGAGACTTAACAGAGACACTTTATAACACTGTAACTGGAGATTTAACAGAGACACTTTATAACAGTGTAACTGGAGACTTAACAGAGACGCTTTATAACAGTGTAACTGGAGACTTAACAGAGACGCTTTATAACAGTGTAACTGGAGACTTAACAGAGACGCTTTATAACACTGTAACTGGAGACTTAACAGAGACACTTTATAACAGTGTAACTGGAGACTTAACAGAGACACTTTATAACACTGTAACTGGAGATTTAACAGAGACACTTTATAACAGTGTAACTGGAGACTTAACAGAGACGCTTTATAACAGTGTAACTGGAGACTTAACAGAGACGCTTTATAACAGTGTAACTGGAGACTTAACAGAGACGCTTTATAACACTGTAACTGGAGACTTAACAGAGACGCTTTATAACAGTGTAACTGGAGACTTAACAGAGACGCTTTATAACACTGTAACTGGAGATTTAACAGAGACACTTTATAACAGTGTAACTGGAGACTTAACAGAGACGCTTTATAACACTGTAACTGGAGACTTAACAGAGACACTTTATAACACTGTAACTGGAGATTTAACAGAGACACTTTATAACAGTGTAACTGGAGACTTAACAGAGACGCTTTATAACAGTGTAACTGGAGACTTAACAGAGACGCTTTATAACAGTGTAACTGGAGACTTAACAGAGACACTTTATAACAGTGTAACTGGAGACTTAACAGAGACGCTTTATAACAGTGTAACTGGAGACTTAACAGAGATGCTTTATAACAGTGTAACTGGAGACTTAACAGAGACGCTTTATAACAGTGTAACTGGAGACTTAACAGAGACGCTTTATAACAGTGTAACTGGAGACTTAACAGAGACGCTTTATAACAGTGGAGACTTAACAGAGACGCTTTATAACAGTGTAACTGGAGACTTAACAGAGACGCTTTATAACAGTGTAACTGGAGACTTAACAGAGACGCTTTATAACAGTGTAACTGGAGACTTAACAGAGATGCTTTATAACAGTGGAGACTTAACAGAGACGCTTTATAACAGTGTAACTGGAGACTTAACAGAGACGCTTTATAACAGTGTAACTGGAGACTTAACAGAGACGCTTTATAACAGTGTAACTGGAGACTTAACAGAGACGCTTTATAACAGTGTAACTGGAGACTTAACAGAGACGCTTTATAACAGTGTAGCTGGAGACTTAACAGAGACACTTTATAACACTGTAACTGGAGATTTACCAGAGATGCTTTATAACAGTCTAACTGGAGACTTAACAGAGACGCTTTATAACAGTGTAACTGGAGACTTAACAGAGATGCTTTATAACAGTGTAACTGGAGACTTAACAGAGACGCTTTATAACAGTGTAACTGGAGACTTAACAGAGACGCTTTATAACAGTGTAACTGGAGACTTAACAGAGATGCTTTATAACAGTGTAACTGAAAATTTAACAGAAATGCTTTATAACAGTGTAACTGGAGACTTAACAGAGATGCTTTATAACAGTGTAACTGGAGACTTAGAGACACTTTATATCAGTGTAACTGGAGACTTAACAGAGATGCTTTATAACAGTGTAACTGGAGACTTAACAGAGATGCTTTATAACAGTGTAACTGGAGACTTAACAGAAATGCTTTATAACAGTGTAACTGGAGACTTAACAGAGATGCTTTATAACACTGTAACTGGAGACTTAGAGACGCTTTATAACAGTGTAACTGGAGACTTAACAGAAATGCTTTATAACCGTGTAACTGGAGACTTAACAGAGATGCTTTATAACAGTGTAACTGGAGACTTAGAGACGCTTTATAACAGTGTAACTGGAGACTTAACAGAGATGCTTTATAACAGTGTAACTGAAAATTTAACAGAAATGCTTTATAACAGTGTAACTGGAGACTTAACAGAGATGCTTTATAACAGTGTAACTGGAGACTTAGAGACACTTTATAACAGTGTAACTGGAGACTTAACAGAGATGCTTTATAACAGTGTAACTGGAGACTTAACAGAGATGCTTTATAACAGTGTAACTGGAGACTTAACAGAAATGCTTTATAACAGTGTAACTGGAGACTTAACAGAGATGCTTTATAACACTGTAACTGGAGACTTAGAGACGCTTTATAACAGTGTAACTGGAGACTTAACAGAAATGCTTTATAACCGTGTAACTGGAGACTTAACAGAGATGCTTTATAACAGTGTAACTGGAGACTTAGAGACGCTTTATAACAGTGTAACTGGAGACTTAACAGAATTGCTTTATAACAGTGTAACTGGAGACTTAACAGAGACGCTTTATAACAGTGTAACTGGAGACTTAACAGAAATGCTTTATAACAGTGTAACTGAAGACTTAACAGAGATGCTTTATAACAGTGTAACTGGAGACTTAACAGAGATGACAGATTCTGTCTGTTAGGATAATTAAGTCCTTTAGTGAGAGGCTGATGATTAGTCATTAACACACACACACACACACACACACACACACACACACACACACACACACACACACACACACACACACACACACACACACACACATCTGAAAGGAGCCTTCCCAAGGCCTCTGGTGGTCAACCTAATCTTTGTGACTTTCCACACCTGGTAACTGACGCTGCTCGACAAACAGTGAAGACTTTCTCTGAAAGTGTGTGTAACTCTTCTTTCCTAAGCCCAGCGATAGGTGTTCCTCTTGTCTTTTAGCCTCTCAAAGCCAGACTATATAAAAAAGACTTGAAATTAAACAGATCCACATTAACCTGTTGAACCTGTGAATGGAGAGCAGTAGGCATAATACACGTCACTGATTTCTATTTGTTGTGTCAGGTTTTCTCTAAACTCTGAAGTGGATCTGAAGGCTGCTTTGATCAAAATGGGACTTGGAGACATGTTCAGCTTGGGTACCGCTAACTTCACACATATAACACGTGAGTTGGTATCTCAGGAGATTTAGTCGGGTATCAATGGTCTGCCATATATGTATTTTTCTCTGTTTGTATGTTTAAGCCCAAGATCTTCAACAAATTGCGTCTATAACATTATTTCTGTCTTAAACCTGTTAGTAGTTGTCTGTTTGAACTCTGACATGTTCATGAGTTTATCAATAATAATTACATGTTATGAAATAAAATGACATCCTTGAGCCACGCCAAAGCCAAATGATGCAGGTGAACTCTGAAAGATGACACTGGGAGCTCATAGCTTCTTGTTTATATCTTACAGCCAATGAGAGGCTGTGTGTGTCAAAGGTCCTGCAGAGAGTGAAGATCGAAGTGAATGAGCAAGGAACAAATGGAGCATCGGCTACAGGTAGGCACAGATTATATCAGCTGGAATAAATTGTTGGATTCTACAGACTCTTAACACTCTGCAAGGTTCTTCATCAACCCTGAATGCAGAGCTGAACTGCTCCTCAACGCTCTGAGGTTACAAACACATCTAAGTTGAGCTATGGCAATAATTCAGCTAATGCCTTAACCAGAGCCTTTATCCTTGTTTACATATCTGTTAGAAAGACAAAAAATTGAATTAAGTGTATTCAACACCTGCAGCTTTTCGTGTCGGCACTCTTCCAGTTGGCCTATGTTTACAAGTAGTAAACAAACGCTCATTTGTTTTCTTGTCCCTCTCCTCTCTGAGGCAAACGTAAACAAATTGCATGTGCATAAGCATCTATTTGCAAATCAGTGATGAATGTATTTCAAAAAGAACAAGTTTCTCAATGAACGAGACTGAAGCAATACACCTGCTACCAGTCGGGGTTCTCACTCTCTCTCTCTCTCTCTCTCTCTCACACACACACACACACTCACACACACATGCACACACTTCTTTCTGTTCCTTTCAATAACAGCTTTATTCACACACAGCGTAGCTACAAAGCTCATCCAGCTCCTCTCATCTGCTCTCCCTTATTCTCATTTCTTGCGGCGTTCTTTATAATCAGCTGGCAGCTGATTGGTAATTGCTGCCCCGTGCGCACCGCCACAGAGACCTTTAAATGCACGGTGCAATGAGCACAACTTTTGGAGAATCAGATGTGTTTTGTTGCTGTGGCAGCATTTCACTTATACATGGTTGGCTTTCTTGTAAATGCAGCAGATTGCCTCATTTAAGTGGGAGCAGACGGCAGCAATGCTGTTTGACTGGCGGCCCAAAATACACTCCCTCTGCCACCTCTCTTTGAACTAGATGGAGATACTACACCAGGGGTGTCAAATATGCGGCCCGCGGGCCGCATCCGGCCCGCAAACGGGATAAATCCGGCCCGTGAGACGGTTGTGTAAACTTTATTTTCATACTTTACAATGTAGAGTGAAAATAAACGTATCTTTGTGAGCAAGTTTTCTCTCTAATGAGTATAAATAAAACTAAGTTGCGCTCAAGCCTCACACAAGAACTTGAATCACATCCTGAAGATGGCCGCCACTCAGGATGTGACTTCTGATGTTGATGTGCTGGTGAAAGCTAAAAGATGTAAAGTAAAATGAGTCAAATATACTTTAAGTGCTGCATGAAACTGATCTAGCCATGTGATCTGTAAGCTGTTTGAATCACTAAGGAATGTTTATTTATTGATTTATTAATTTTTATTTATTTCAAATTTTCAAGTACACTTCAGGTGTTGTACTTGTACTATTTTGGATACACTGTCCTCAGGCTCCAGCCTTGTTTTATATTGATTGTATTAAAACAAAGAAAACAATCTGAAGTTGTTTTTAATTTACCGGTCCGGCCCACTTGGGACTAGATTTCCCTCGATGTGGCCCCTGAGCTAAAATGGGTTTGACACCCCTGTACTACACGCTACAGAACAGTCACAGAGCCATGGGTGAGTTCAGGCCTCAGCTGTGAGATCTTAAACAGTCTTTTCTTCTTGTCCCTTTTCTTTTAGCTGCTATCATGTTCTCCCGTATGGCGGTGCAACAGATCAGTCTGGACCGACCCTTCCTCTTCCTTATTCAGCACCAGAACACCGGTAACAGCCCTGAAATGTTTAGCAACACTTCTGTTCCTGTTGGCTTTTCCAGGGATCCAATACTTTCTTCTCTGTTTCAGGTGCAGTTCTGTTCATGGGTCAGTTCAACCACCCTCCTCAACAATAATCCAAGCTTTAACCTAAGTGCATGTGACCCAGACGTGTTTGATCCAAGTGTGTGTGAGAATGTACCCCAGATGAAATATACCTGATGACTGGGCTGGACTGGTACCTGGACTGACTGAGAGACTTCATATGTTGTTTTTTTATTTATTTATTTAAATGTATGTAGTTCAAAGACTGTTCATTCACCTGTGTTGTTTTTATTTTGTTGTTCTTTAAATGTATATTTCTAATAAAGCTTTATTATTTAAATGTCATTCAGTCCCTCTCTGAATCAGAAATGATAATCTTGTTCAAAGAGAATAGTTTTAAAGTAAATGTGTTTAAAGTGCAGAACATTTTTGAAAGAGTAGTTACAAAGCAACTGTTTGAACGCATGACCTGGATGCTAGTGATTATTTGTCTTTGTGCTCTGACTGAGTGTAGTACTGCATGCAGGAGTGAGGTGGAGCCGAGCTCATCAACGTCTCTGTCACGGTGCAGTGTGGACGGCTGTTGCTGACTGTGGTGAAGCAAGGAGGGAATGTTGATTATAATATCGAATATCATATTGTCGGCGTCGTCGTCTTCCTCCGCTGATCCGGGTCCGGGTCGTGGGGGCAGCATCCCAACTAGGGAGCTCCAGACCGTCCTCTCCCTGGCCACCTCCACCAGCTCCTCCGGAAGGGACCCCAAGGCGTTCCCGGACCAGATTGGAGATGTAACCTCTCCAACGTGTCCTGGGTCGACCCGGGGGCCTCCTGCTGGCAGGACATGCCCGAAACACCTCCCCGGGGAGGCGTCCAGGAGGCATCCTGACCAGATGCCCAAACCACCTCAACTGACTCCTTTCGATCCGGAGGAGCAGCGGTTCTACTCCGAGTCCCTCCCGAATGTCCGAGCTCCTCACCCTATCTCTAAGGCTGAGCCCGGCCACCCTACAGAGGAAACTAATTTCGGCCGCTTGTATCCGCGATCTCGTTCTTTCGGTCATTACCCAAAGCTTATGACCATAGGTGAGGATTGGGACGTAGATCGACCGGTAAAGCGAGAGCCTGGCTTTCTGGCTCAGCTCCCTCTTCACCACGACAGATCAGCTCAGCGTCCGCATCACTGCAGACGCCGAACCAATCCGCCTGTCGATCTCCCGATCCCTCCTACCCTCACTCGTGAACAAGACCCTGAGATACTTAAACTCCTCCACTTGAGGTAGGACCTCTCTCCCGACCCGGAGTTGGCAAGCCACCCTTTTCCGGTCGAGAACCATGGTCTCACCTTGGAGGTGCTGATCCTCATCCCAGCCGCTTCACACTTGGCCGCGAACCTACCCACAGTCCAAAAACATGACTGTTAGGGTGATTGGTATGTCTAAATTGTCCTTAGGTGTGAGTGTGTGTGTGTGAGTGTCCTGTGTGTCTCTGTGTTGCCCTGCGATGGACTGGCTCTCTGTCCAGGGTGTACCCTGCCTGATTGCCCATTGACCGCTGGAGATAGGCACCAGCCCCGCCACCCCCCCCCCCCCCCCCCCGATAATATAATATAACATATCATAAGATAATATAATATCTTATAGTATGATATGATATGATATGATATGATATGATATGATATGATAGGCCCTTCGTTAGCTTCATTGAAGTCTATTCCTAAAGTCCACTACGAATTCTATGCATTTGATTGTTGATCCTATTACTTAGAATGTTTGCTGTGGTACTTCTTATTTTCACGCTCCATTTTTCCCTGCTGAGCTAAGCCGAAAGGCAAAGCTCTCCATTCACCGGTCGATCTACGTTCCTACCCTCACCTATGGTCACAAGCTTTGGGTAGTGACCGAAAGAACGAGATCACAAACACAAGCAGCCAAAAATGAGTTTTCTCCGCTAGGAGTCTGGGCTCTCCCTCAGACCTAGGGCGAGAAGCTCAGTCATCCAGGAGGGTCCTGGAATAGATTTGTTGCTCCTCTAATCTGGTTAGGATGCCTCCTGGACGCCAGCCTGACCTGCCAGAGTCCTCCTCTGTTTAATTCTGCACAGTCTGGGAACTATCCTATATAAACAGCCCCGCCCCCTGAGAATTCTAACCGAGCCAATCAGCGCTGAGTAGCGTACGTCACACACCATAACGCCGAGTTTGTCATAAACATGGCGACTGAAGCAGAGTTCTCTGCAGCTGTTTCCTCTGTTCTAAATGACTTGGACACGTCTTTAAAACCACAACAAGTAGAAGCGCTAAAAGCCTTTCTTCTAAAGAAAGATATTTGCGCTGTGCAGAATTAAACAGGAAGAAGTCTGGCAGGGCAGGCTACCTGCCTCCCTGCTGAGGTGTTCCAGGAACGTCAGACTGAGAGGAGATCCAAAAGAAGACCCAGGACACGCTGAGGGGACTGTCTCTTGGCTGGCCAGGGAACGCCTTGGGCTTCACTCGGAGGAGCTGGCCCAACCGGCTGGGAAGAGGGAAGTCTGGGCCTCTTGGCTACGGCTGCTGCCCCCGAGACCCGACCCTGAATAAGCAGCTGAAAACGGATGGTTGGATGGACTCCATATTTTATTTCAATCCTTCTTTTGAATTATTGCCGTACTGTTTTTATGTTCAGCACTTTAGTCAGCTGTTGCGTAGTTTTTAAATGTGCTATTTAAAAAAAAAAACGTGGTATGGTCTTTCAGATTATTAATTTCTTTTTAAAAGAGTACCTCATATCACTGAAGGGTCTGAAATCCAGCAAAGGTGGAAGGGTCAGCATGACAAAAGATGGTTTAATCTAATTAGACCCATAAACCAGAACCAATCAGACATTCTTTTATGTATGCTAATAATTCAGTATTCATGGAAGTCCCATGATTTTATTGGTTATTTAAAAAGGAGTCTGTTTCAGTGTATAAATGATCGCCCACACACTGGCTGGTGTAAAATCCCCTGCTTCTGGTAGTAAGTTGATGAAGAGCCCCACTCTGTGGTCATATCTCTTCACTGTTTTCATGGGACTTTGTTTTTTCTCCCAGGTGGGAGTTTTAAGACATCGGTCGACGGTTCTCAGTAAGGACAGTTTAGATAGGGGGAACAGGATTACAGGTACAGAAAACACACCGCAGGAAAATTCATGAACACTATAAATTCATGTCAGTGAATGTGAATGGTCAAAGCAGTCCTATAAAAAAGTAAGATGATAGCTTTTTTTTGTTCAATTTGTTTTTTCAACATTTAGCTCAGATTTTCTAACAAGAAGAGCTGAAAAGTATAACCACAAATGGCACAAAACCAGCCTATACGTACGCCAATGACATATTGGTAAAACTCCCAAATCCAGGCTCTAGCATACCTTTGTTCATGCCCTCAGAGAGGAAGGAGGTATCACACCCGTTTTATTTAATTTTATTCACACCCAAAATGTAATCATCCAGTATTTGTGAGTTCTCATACCAAAGTCCTCTCCCACCGTTTTGATAATAAGTAGCTACAAAAGAATCACAAAGGAAATCATCAGGACAATGTGGTACAGCCAGAGGTGGAAAGAGTACTAAAATTTCCTACACAAGTATGAGTACCAATACTTTGATTATTTTTACTCAAGTACAAGTAAAAGTATTTAAACATTAGACAATAATTTTATAAGCAATAAACAGTAAAAAGGAGAAAAAAGAAACACAAATGAAGGAAAAAAGTCTTAGCCCAAAGGGAGTGGGAAGAAGCGAGTGTTTACTCAGTCCCACCCCCTCGCCACACACTAAAACAAACCATGTACATATTTAATACACATTTCAGGATCGTTACATAAATGATCCGCACTTATATAGCGCCCCTCAGAGTAAGGACTCCAAAGCGCTTTACACTACAGTGAATCAATCATTCATCCATTCACACACACACACACACATTCATACACTGGTGGGGATGAGCTACGATGTAGCCACAGCTGCCCTGGGGCGCACTGACAGAGGCGACATACATATCATTACAATAATAAATATACAAATAAGAACATATATGAATGTTTTCTCTCACTGTGTGTGTGTGTGTGTGTGTGTGTGTGTGTGTGTGTGTGTGTGTGTGTGTGTGTGTGTGTGTGTGTGTGTGTGTGTTTCGTGCATGCAATTTCTTTCAGCTTTTTTGTACTGTTATATACCCTCCTCTATGATAATTCATTTGTTTGACAATAAAAGAGGCCTCGAATGTGTAATAGTGCAAAAAGCGGAGTCTGAAGTGCGCATGCTCAGTGGAGGCGGAAGTGCTCGGTACGGTGGTACCTCTCGTTCGGCTGTGTCCTGTTAGACACGGAGATGGACTTTTATCGTTAATTATCGTCTGAGCTACTAACTTCAGGCTGCACAGGGTGTCTGTGACGTTGGGGGCACGTTCAGAATGGTGAGTTGATGCGTCTCAATCGGTGGAAAGTGCCGGGTGCTAACTTGTGCTAATGCCGATAAGGTGTCAGCAATTCAGGAAGTGCCCACCTGCGCTCCGCTCACCTGGCGAACGGGCCTGGAGAGGGGAGACGACCCGGATCATGGTGCCGTTCTTACTGTGGGCTAAGTCGCTGTTGCTTGGTTGAGGTGTTTTAAGACCCGCTCCCTTCCTCAGCTTCAGTTCCAGGATTCGATTCAGCTCAATGCGTTTATTTAGTTACACGACACCAGCACACAAGATCCAACCCGTTCCCGTTCATGTTCGGGTCGATGGCACTTCCAGTCAGTGAGTTCCGTTCACTTCTCGCTAAAGCCGATTCATTCTAAAAGGCCGAATGTTCTCGGATGGAGTATTCATTCTTCACTTAAGCCGTTTGGGTTTTCAGACCCATCTTGCCAAAACTGACATAGAATAGAAAAATAAAAGGCGGGAATAAATTATAAATAAATGACAAAATGCAGAAAAAATAGCTATTTTAAATAGTTGGTAAGAAATATGTTTATTTCCACATTTATGTATCGGTCCTTGTCAGGTGACATATGGGGTGCTGTAGCGCGTTGCATGATGGAATAGCTAGGTGTCTGAACAAAGGAAGCTTTGTGAGCTAAACCCGGTACACCTGTTGTGTGAAAGGCGGCCATGCCACCTTCACAAGAAGGCAAAAAATAAAATGTAGGCTGGAGTCGTGTTAACTGGATATTTTCTGTATTTAACCGTTCAGTTTTTGACAGAAATCTCAAGGCTGTTGGTCATTCTGACAGACAGGAATTACTCTGACGCGTGCAGTTGTGCAGACATTTTAAACGTTCTGCACGGAGAACATCGCAGAGGTAACGAGATCCATCAGACGATTCCCATCAGAACATCTGAGCATTATTTGTCAGCTGCAGCTTACCCTAGCAATGCCAGTCATACACCTAAAATGGCGCTAAAGAGGTGTGGTTGACATGCAGGTCACGTGTCTGACAAGGACCGATTAATGCATTCAGTTATAAATACTGTCCTAAAGCATGATTGGTCAACCAATCATCTTCCAAGAAATTCACACAACCCTCCATTCTCTGCCCTCTGAACGATGTGTTGTTAGTGCTCTTTAATGCGGACTTATTAGGGATGCATGTTTACCAACATTTCTTTAAAAGGCTATTGATGCCCCTTAATGGTTAATAGCCGGTTAACTAGAAACCAACCAATGGTGGTGCTGATTACTGGTGGAACACCGGTGTTTCGACTCTCTGTGCTGCTCGTCGAAATGTGCTACTTTGGGGAAATACGCATGAGCAGATGGATTACTTCATCACAGGTTTACCTGAAACGCGCTACTATGACTGGGCGATATGGCCTAAAATCAACATTGTTATGTGCCCGTCCCATTTATCGGTTCCTTTAAAACCCAGTTCCGTTAGAACTTATGAGACGGAGCATCCATCAGGGTTCGATGGGGATGTCGGTGAGTATTATGGTATTAGATCCTGGTTTGGGCGTCCTAAGTTAGAATCATATCTTTTATTTTAAAGGTGAAATAATATGTAAGACCTTTCCTTCTGTAGTAGCTCACTTCTTTTTAAGCAATCCCGTTATCTTAAGGTTTCTTTATATCAATCTGTCACAAACCGTAAAGTAAGTCCTGATAATTCCAGAACCCATAATTAATGTGCTTACCTCTGTGCAATTAATGATCAGGGCTTCCACTCATGAAGCTTTAGAGAAAACCTGAAAGAATCAGGATTATGTTTCTTTTTCAAAAAAGGTTTATTACAAAATCAAAATACAAAAATGGGTAAATAAAAAACAACTGCTATCCCCCAAGGAGGAATTAGTTCAAAATGATTAAAAAAGAGTTAGTTTACACTAGCTCCTGTCTTCTCAGAATGAAAACTCCCAAGTTACCTCTTCCAAAAAAGTCTGTCATCCCCCATCCAGGTTTGGACGGGGGATGACCCCTCCAAATCTGCTCTGTCTCTTCTTGTCCTCTGCCCCAGCTGCTGTCCGCTCTCAATCTATATATCTCTGCTGTTCAGAGCTGTTCTTATATACCCTTCCTGGGCCAGCTTTAGGTCATGGGGTCATTTACCAGATACACACTTTGTAGCTCAACACAAAACATTTGGTGTCATTACATGCAGCATTCTTCTTAACACAGGTCATTACATCATCTTTTGCAGCATTCTTCAGTTTCTCTCCAATGTTCCCGAGAGGGCTTCTGGATCTGATGGGCTTGTCTTCACTCTGTTCTCCTCCAATCCCATCTTTCCAAGCCAGGGGTGGGGCAAAGAGGTTGGGTCAGTCAACCTGACCTTTCGCCCAGTTCTGTCCTCGTCCCTGTGACCCTTGTGTGACCCTTGTTTCTGACCACAGTTTTTTGACCTGCAGCCCAACTCATGTCGGCTGGCTGATTTTGCTCGCACAAGCCAGTCCAGTGTGTTTCAGCTTGCCACTGTCTTTGGCATGTGGGGACTCGCAACATCCCCCATGCGAGAAAAATCTAGCCAGGGGACTGCAGCAGCCTTCTTTGAGGTGGGGCTGCCTCCTCCTCTGGATCATCTTCATCTCCAGTCTCAGAGCCAGAGTCTGACTAGCTCAGAGTCCAGATACACACCATCATCATCATCATCATCACTCACTTCAGTCTCAGAAGAACCAGAGGGTTCAGATCTGGGTTCCTGCTTCACCACCAGTTTCAGCTGCCATCTGGTCAGCTGAGCTGCTGGTTGGAACATCTCAGTCTCCACCTTCAAGCAGAGACTCTCTCCCTCCAGACTGAAGACATTTTTTACTGCAGAGCTTCAAATATTCTCCTCACACACCTGAACAGCAACAAGCTAACTCTGCTTGCAGCTGCTGGTGGGAAGCTTACGCTAAAAACTATAAAGTGTGGCAAGGTGGACAAATGAGGGCCCGGGCGGGATTCGATCCCGGGACCTTCGGGGTGTGAGTCATACGCTCTAACCACTCAGCCAAAGGGACATCCCCTTATCCAACTGGCCAGGGCGCATGATCAATCAAGACATTGTGACAGAACGCTCACACTGTCACACCTTCCCCCCTCTTTCCACAAGCGCGTCCTCGTACTCCCGCGCAGGGTGCCACAAACTTCACATCCACGGACCTACTTGACAGTACTACATGGATCCTGCCAACAACACCAAATGTGGCAAGGTTAAAAATGCTTACGCCTTATTAGTGTAGCTGTGTGTCAGGTCAGAATCATACGGAGCTGTTAGTTCAGGACTCTCCCTTCTCAACAGAACTAGTAGGGGGAGGGGTGATGTCACCACATCCTGCACATTCCGCTTGTCACTTGTTGCTCAGCTGACTGGGTGCTTTTTCTTTGTTCAGCTGCGGCTTCTCATATCTGCAGGCTGCCGAGAGCGGAAGCTAGGTGCTTGTCTCAAGCAGATCCTCTAAAAACAAAGTTTAATTGGAGCAGAGTTCCAATGCTCCCAGTTATAAGTCCGTCCTTTACAGGCGGCACGGTTTCTCTCCTCACGCAGCCCTTAAGCACAGAGGTTCACACATTATACATGTTCCCGGCTTCTAGCCTCCATTGCGCGTGACGATGCCCGACATGAGATTCTGTGAAGCTAGGAAACATGATTACTTTACAGTTCGTGACAAATACCTCCCCGTGTTACCAGAAACGAGGCCCAAGTCACACAGATTCTTACATATCAGTCCTTCACTAGATTTTGATCCAGCCATGACGTTTAATCGCATCTCACTTGTGCCTCAGCACCCGGACAGCGCCCCGCCGCAGCTCCATACTAGCTTTTCCAGCCTCATTCTAAAGCTCCGGTTACAGGATACTGAAAGATCTATCTGCCATAGCTGGTTAAAAGTTTTTCTTATTTTTATTTATTTTATTTTTTGCCTAGCTTTTATCCTTGGCTTTTCTTGCGTCGGAATGCCGTGATTTCTTTATACCTTTTTAAGTTGATCGTCCGTTCTCCCAGTTTCTTTCCTTTTCGAGAAATTGGTGCGGTTCTCACTCCAAGGTTATAAAATTATCCGGTCCATAGCGCGTAAGCTTTTATCAGCCTAAAAGACAGTTCTACGTCGGATAGCCCGGTATCTAATATTTAGACCTTCACTCCGTAGCCCCACGTTTGGCGCGCCATGTTATGTGCCCGTCCCATTTATCGGTTCCTTTAAAACCCAGTTCCGTTAGAACTTATGAGACGGAGCATCCATCAGGGTTCGATGGGGATGTCGGTGAGTATTATGGTATTAGATCCTGGTTTGGGCGTCCTAAGTTAGAATCATATCTTTTATTTTAAAGGTGAAATAATATGTAAGACCTTTCCTTCTGTAGTAGCTCACTTCTTTTTAAGCAATCCCGTTATCTTAAGGTTTCTTTATATCAATCTGTCACAAACCGTAAAGTAAGTCCTGATAATTCCAGAACCCATAATTAATGTGCTTACCTCTGTGCAATTAATGATCAGGGCTTCCACTCATGAAGCTTTAGAGAAAACCTGAAAGAATCAGGATTATGTTTCTTTTTCAAAAAAGGTTTATTACAAAATCAAAATACAAAAATGGGTAAATAAAAAACAACTGCTATCCCCCAAGGAGGAATTAGTTCAAAATGATTAAAAAAGAGTTAGTTTACACTAGCTCCTGTCTTCTCAGAATGAAAACTCCCAAGTTACCTCTTCCAAAAAAGTCTGTCATCCCCCATCCAGGTTTGGACGGGGGATGACCCCTCCAAATCTGCTCTGTCTCTTCTTGTCCTCTGCCCCAGCTGCTGTCCGCTCTCAATCTATATATCTCTGCTGTTCAGAGCTGTTCTTATATACCCTTCCTGGGCCAGCTTTAGGTCATGGGGTCATTTACCAGATACACACTTTGTAGCTCAACACAAAACATTTGGTGTCATTACATGCAGCATTCTTCTTAACACAGGTCATTACATCATCTTTTGCAGCATTCTTCAGTTTCTCTCCAATGTTCCCGAGAGGGCTTCTGGATCTGATGGGCTTGTCTTCACTCTGTTCTCCTCCAATCCCATCTTTCCAAGCCAGGGGTGGGGCAAAGAGGTTGGGTCAGTCAACCTGACCTTTCGCCCAGTTCTGTCCTCGTCCCTGTGACCCTTGTGTGACCCTTGTTTCTGACCACAGTTTTTTGACCTGCAGCCCAACTCATGTCGGCTGGCTGATTTTGCTCGCACAAGCCAGTCCAGTGTGTTTCAGCTTGCCACTGTCTTTGGCATGTGGGGACTCGCAACAACATCACGATATTTTGAGGATTTCACCTCGATAACAATAAACGGACGATAACTACATGTAAGCGCAGAATGCATTCCTTCGTGGGGGTTTGTTGCCGCTCAAGGCTACCAGGGCGTCAGATTCAGATAACAAGACTTTGTTTGGGTCAGGCTGAGATAATTTTCCTCTCTGCCTTCAGTCTTTAAACTGATCATTCCAGTCCTTCAGTGAAGCCAATTTTGGGTTTTTAAACCTGTCCATACCGTCCGGTGACTCCCTCCGAGATGACATCCATTTTGCGCACTAATACCGGTAGCGTAGCTAGAACATTGTCCAGCTTACGATTCACCTCGAGTAACGTCCCAGTCTGAGAAGTCTCCATACGGACGGTGCTTTCCGTGGGTGCGGGTCGCCCTCCAATCGCTCCCGTCTTCCCAAATTTCCAGGAAACCAGATATCCTCCAACTCCAATCAGGAGAAATCCAGTGACCATCAGGTCGAATATCCACACGTCTTCGATGTCCTCCATGGACAGCTGGCTGAGGCATACGATCTTCCACTCCTTCCAGGAATCCAGCGTATATCCCACCGGGTGTGTCCCCTGTGGACATGTGGGAGCCCCCTGCCCCGTTCTCATTGTTGAAAAAATCTTATCGATCACATTGAATGACCAATTCATCAACTCCATGGTTAGTAAAAAATAGGGTTTTTCAGAAGAAATGCAGAGAAGCGCTCTGGGCAGACAGGACAAAGAGCCTTGGGAAAAACAGGATAAGGGAGCGACAAGAGAGAAACGTCTGTACTCCTCGAGTGTCAGGAAGAAGGATTTCACCTCACAAGGATTTCATTTTTGCTAGTAATTATACTACAGTTCTGTATGTTTGCATAATATTAACTATTTAAAATAAACCATGCTTAATAAATGTGTTATACTGTAAACAAGAGCAAAACTGTTATAACAAACTGGAATATTTGACAAAGAAGCACACAGTCAGAACACCGGCTCTACTCCAACCCCTCACCAATATCCAAGCTCTTCACTTAACAACCTGCCTATAAGGATGGGTGGGCATGGCCAGCAGCAGCTTATTCATGTATTTTAAAATGTCAGCTCATTCTGAAAAGTACTGATGTCAAATATAGAGCTGCATAGGTTGCTTTAGGTGAGAGGAATTTTGTCCAAGAACTTCATGACCATGTTTTGTATCGACCAAAACAAATCTCCACACTCTGTTTTAATTTTATGACCTGAGATCTTCAGCCACAAAGGAACAGCGTGAAAACACATGCAGCCAGAAATCAAATCTCTCTTTAATGTTCTTACACACACACACACACACACACACACACACACACACACACACACACACACACACACACACACACACACACACACACACACACACACACACACACACACACACACACACACACACACACACACACACACACACGCACAAATGTGAGTTTTCATCTGGAAATAAACATTTTCTTGTTGTTAATCTCCCTCAGTCACAATTTTATTTACCATCCAGACCTAACACGCCTGTAGCAGTCCTCTGTGTTGGTAGGCTTTCATTTTGGAGGGCGGGTAAGTTGAAGCATGTATTTCTAGAAAGTAGAGCTGCACCATCTGAAATAGGATAGCTGCCGTTTTCTCCAAATGCCTTTCTAGGTTATCTATGAAGCCCACATGACCTGGAAATCCAGTAAATGACGAGATCTGGCTAAACATGTCATCAGTGATCAGGCTGGGGAGTGGACTGGTCAAAATGGGGACTCTGAAGCAACATTGACTTTAGTGACCTCCAGTTGACATGAGCTGTTTTTCCAACAGCACTACTCAGCCTAAAACAGCTCAGTACAGCGTGGGCTGATTTCCCCTGCCAGCCACATGACAGGAAGTGGGTGCACCTTTCATAGCGTGCCGGGGGTGTTTCTGAGGGATCTTTACTCGAGACAAAAATAGCATGAGGTGATCACTAAACAGTGTGAGGTGATCTTAATGCTACACAGAAACACAACTCGACAGGAACATGGTGGTGACGTTGGACATTCTTCTCAGTTTTATGGATTTTTGTCAGACTCTGAACCATGGAATGGCTGCAGGCAGCAAGAAAGCTCCGGAGCTACCTATGACTCCACCCCCTTAACCAATCGGTGGCTAACAGTTGCGAGGCTGACTCGGCTCAGCCTTTGGAACAACAATTGGGCAGGGACTGAAAAGTAGGTTGAAAATACCAAACTGTGCAGTACCCTGGAAAGGGCCTAATGGTTGGGTGTCGTGATTTGGTCTCTTCCTGATCTCCAGCTCTGGGTCTCAGATCTTTGTTTCTGAACAATGTCCTTCCTGTCCCCCTACAGATGCGTTTCATGCTGCTGTTCAGCCGGCAGGGGAAACTGCGTCTCCAGAAGTGGTACACAGCTACTGCTGAACGGGACAAAAAGAAGATGGTCAGGGAGCTGATGCAGACAGTTCTTGCTCGCAAACCAAAGATGTGCAGTTTTCTAGAATGGAGGGACCTGAAGATTGTTTATAAAAGGTAAAACCCGTGGACTATTTCCTGGTGTTGGTTCCGTACTGCTTACGGCATGGTAAGCCCTTGGTTGATACTAGGCATCACCAGCTTTACAGATGGACTAGATCTCTGCTCAGTTTCACAGATATATTTCTAATGTTTATTTTAATTTTGGTGATTTCAACTGAAAACTAAAAATCCCAAATTCAGTATCTCTGAAAATGTGAATTTCAGTTAAACGGGATTTTCTCCGAATAAATCCAAGGAATGAATGTAAAATCGAATGAAGCAGAAAGCGATGACCGGAGACTCTACCAGGAAAAAGAAAAGAAACCCAGAACCCCAAACTAAAGAGACAAAGGCATACGAACAGACTACGCTAACGCCCAAAGCCAACATGGCTAACCTCAAAGGGAAGCTTGGAGCCAATAAGCGAACAAATAAAAGCCCTGCAGAGTGAAATGAGAATGGGACTAATAACATTCAAGAATGAAATAACCACTCAACTTAAAGAATAACTAAAGCTTGGTTTATGCTTGACGCATTCACTTTCCGCTTGGTGATGCGGCTCGCGGATGGAACGCGCTTCACAACTTGCAGCGTTTATGGTTAATGCGGCTCGTCTTTGCGGTGAGCCAATATTCTCCCAAACTGTAGGGGGCAGCATGGAGCTCTACGGCATGCATCCAACACTACACCATAGTAGAAGTAGAAATTACTGTTTACAACATGGCATTCCAGCATTTTTAACAGCGTTCTCATCTTTTCCGACAGTGCGAGCTATTTCTCTCCAAGAATGATTAACAACATGTTGATCACGGTGATCTCTGAGAGCTGAATCATACAAATGTCTGTATTTACGAACCTCTGCCATAATAGTTCTTGCTGGTCCGCCATGTTTTTCCGCGTCCGTCCGTCTGCGTGGTTAGAAATTTTCCGAGGTGCGCGTTGCGGAAATTCTGGGCCGTGCGGAGGCGCGGTGGAGGGGCGTGGTTGTTAAAATGACGCAAAATGACGCACCTCGCGGACACGTCAAGCATAAACCAACCTTAAACCCCAAAATAACTTATTTTTGCTAATTAACTGTATAAGTGGGTATTTACAAATGCAATCTTTCTGTTCTGTGCATTTTTTGACATGTTTTTGTAAACTTGATTAAATCCAGAATCTAGGTCTAAAAACGTCGTAGTGCTGCCCCCTGTGGCAGAAAAGCAGCCACTGCATTTTAAATTAGCGATTGACTGGGCCTGGAACAATTTCACATCATCAGTACAGTTTCCTCCCACTCCCCCTCCCACCCCCTAACCCTAACGCTGAGCCGATCTGTCGTGGTGAAGAGGGAGCTGAGCCAGAAAGCCAGGCTCTCGATTTACCGGCCGATCTACTTCCCAATCCTCACCTATGGTCATGAGCTTTGGGTAATGACCGAAAGAACGAGATCGCGGATACAAGCGGCCGAAATGAGTTTCCTCCGTAGGGTGGCCGGGCTCAGCCTTAGAGATAGGGTGAGAAGCTCGGGCATTCCGGAGGGACTCGGAGTAGAACCGCTGCTCCTCCGGATCGAAAGGAGTCAGTTGAGGTGGTTTGGGCATCTGGTCAGGATGCCTCCTGGACGCCTCCCTGGGGAGGTGTTTCAGGCATGTCCTGCGGGCAGGAGGCCCCCGGGTCGACCCAGGACACGTTGGAGAGGTTACATCTCCGATCTGCTCCGGGAACGCCTTGGGGTCCTGCCAGAGGAGCTGGTGGAGGTGGCCGGGGAGAGGACGGTCTGGAGCTCCCTAGTTGGGATGCTGCCCCCGCGACCCGTACCCGGATAAGCGGAGGAAGACGACGACGACGACATTTTACCTCCCATCATAGAGGCTTCTTCAGTTTCCATACTTTTGCTGTGATCAGAAACAAACACATCGATTGTGCTTCAAGTTTTTTCTTTCTTTCTTGAAAAGGAGAAGAAAATATTTTTTCTATCGACCAAACATGTTTTGTCTAAATGAAGGTGATGTTTTTGTTCAGAGAATAAAAATTCACGTCGAAGTTCAGATAATTTCACTCAGTAAGAGCTGTTTTTAGTTGGCTCGTTTAAAACATTTTAAGTTTTTAGACCCTGCCACTTGAAAGAATCAGAATCGATAGGAACCGAAATCAAAACGAGGAATTGGAATTGTTCAAATTCAAATGATGCCCAACCCTCGTCAGAGACGAGCTTCCTGACGTCCACCAGCCAGAAAATCTCTTACTCAGATTAGAGAAATACTTTTTGAAATGTTCTGTATTTTAGTTGTGAAAAGTAAAACCTGTTCGCTCTCTGTTTGTGCATCTATGTGCATCTATGTGCATCTATGTGCATCTATGTGCATCTATGTGCATCTATGTGCATCTATGTGCATCTATGTGCATCTATGTGCATCTATGTGCATCTATGTGCATCTATGTGCAGGTATGCCAGCTTGTATTTTTGCTGCGCTATCGAGGAGCAGGACAACGAGCTGATTACTCTGGAGATCATCCATCGTTTCGTGGAGCTCCTGGATAAATACTTTGGCAGTGTAAGTTGTGGCACTAATGTGTGTGTGTGTGTGTGTGTGTGTGTGTGTGTGTGTGTGTGTGTGTGTCACAGTTACACTGAGACTCTATTTTCTGCAGGTGTGTGAGCTGGACATAATCTTTAACTTTGAGAAGGCCTACTTCATTTTAGACGAGTTCTTGATGGGGGGAGAGATCCAGGACACTTCTAAGAAGAGTGTCCTTAAAGCCATTGAACAAGCTGATCTACTGCAGGAAGTAAGCAGGGGTCAGGGTGGGGGCCAAGGCCTGGTAATGCAACTGCTGTTGACCAGCAGTAACTAATATGCTCAGAAGCTGGAAGAGACTGTAGCCCTAGTGGCTCCTGTGTCCTCCCCTTCTCTCCTCTTTTGAAGCTAGAAAACCTAGATTCTTGTCCAGCATGAATAAAATAGTGTTTATTTGGCCTTGATCGTGTTTCATTCTGCAGGAGGACGAGTCACCCCGTAGTGTCCTGGAGGAGATGGGCTTGGCATAAACTACAGCAGAACTGGAAAATGGGAACGACACAAAACTGAGGCAGGACAGTCTTGAATGGAACATGCTTGGACTGATGCTACTGGCTTTGGGGTCCAATGTACCTTCGTTTCTGGGAAAGAGGTTCCATTGATTGTTGCATTAATCCCTTATTTTGTGTTTGTGTTTGTGTGTGTGTGTGTGTGTGTGCGGGGGGGTTACATACTTAAGCTGGTTTGTGCCTGGAGGAGTTCTGGTTGTTACAGACAAGACTTTGAGTCCTAATATGCGGTGAGGACAGCAATAATCCTGTGGGGTTTGCAGTTTATTAAAAGTTCTGTTGGTCAAGCAAAGCCATCACAGGAATACTGGGTCAGAGATTTAGGCAATAAAAGTCCAAATGTTGAGTGGCTGCTTGGGCTCATGGCTACTATCTGAGCCAACTGGCACGTTGGCTGAAGTTTGGACTTGAATGAGACGTTCAATCCCTACGGCTGTAAAGCCTTGTTGCTAATCTCACTGCTTTGTGCATTAAAGCCACGTTGGCCTCACATCTCCTTAGTGGTCCTTAACCATCAAACCAACCAGTTCTTCAGGTTCTGTCTCCAACACTCAAGACTAGAACCAAACAAAATATATAGTAGAGGCCAAGAGGGGACTACTTTTCAAATTCTGCTTCCACCCACTGCTCCTGAAATATTCCCTTTAAAAATACATAATTTGGAATTTAAATGTCTTATTATTAAGAAGTAATGATAAAATAATAGTAATAAAAATAAAGCAAACCTGCTTCCAAACCCGCCCACTCCCTCCTCCCTACGAAACAAAAACAAAGTTTATACGCTGTTCAACGAGTCCGACTAATTGTGGGACACATTAGTTTTAGACAACTTTAAAGTTCTTCCATGGCTAATTGAGATTCATATTCTCCAGCTTTCATTTAGCTGCACTCTCCATCTCTCCATGTTAATTTTTTGCCACCAACCCAACTTGGGTTTCTCAATGCCAAGGAACCTTGCCTTGATGTCTTGGCCCCGCCCCGGTTGCCTAGGAGATACGTCATCGAGAGCCGCCAAGATGTGTTCCACTGTTCATGTTCTACCGAGGCGTGTGTTCTCCATTTGTTAGCCGTTTAGCTAGCTGAGCAAAGATACACGGGAGGTGTCTTGTTGCCTAGCCTTGGTCAAAAATTACCCAGAATACACCGCGGTATTTTCAAAAGGACGGCGGATCAGAAGGCGGCAGCTACTTCGGGGGCAAATTTCAAGTTTAAAAATCGTCATCGTCGTCTTCCTCCGCTTATCCGGGTCCGGGTCGCGGGGGCAGCATCCCAACTAGGGAGCTCCAGACCGTCCTCTCCCCGGCCACCTCCACCAGCTCCTCCGGCAGGACCCCAAGGCGTTCCCGGACCAGATTGGAGATGTAACCTCTCCAACGTGTCCTGGATCGACCCGGGGGCCTCCTGCTGGCATGACATGCCCGAAACACCTCCCCAGGGAGGTGTCCAGGAGGCATCCTGACCAGATGCCCAAACCACCTCAACTGACTGCCTTCGATCCGGAGGAGCAGCGGTTCTACTCCGAGTCCCTCCCGAATGTCCGAGCTCCTCACCCTATCTCTAAGGCTGAGCCCGGCCACCCTACAGAGGAAACTCATTTCGGCCGCTTTTATCCGCGATCTCGTTCTTTCGGTCATTACCCAAAGCTCATGACCATAGGTGAGGATTGGGACGTAGATCGACCGGTAAATCGAGAGCCTGGCTTTCTGGCTCAGCTCCCTCTTCCCCACGACAGATCGGCTCAGCGTCCGCATCACTGCAGACGCCGAACCAATCCGCCTGTCGATCTCCCGATCCCTCCTACCCTCACTCGTGAACAAAGACCCCCGAGATACTTAAACTCCTCCACCTGAGGTAGGACCTCTCTCCCAACCCGGAGTTGGCAAGCCACCCTTTTCCGGTCGGGAACCATGGTCTCAGATTTGGAGGTGCTGATCCTCATCCCAGCCGCTTCACACTCGGCTGCGAACCTACCCAGCAATTTAAAATGTATTTTTTAGATCCAAAGAATTTTTCTATTGGTTAGTTGCTTAGTAGTTGCAGATTCGGTGGCTAGCAGGTAGTAACTCACTTCTTATTTAAATTTAACAAACATATACACAATTTAAAAAGTAAAAAGGCTCATTATATACTTATATTGAAACTAATATGTATAAAATATAACGTTGTCTCCCATATCACGCGACGTTGCGTGACCTCCGTGGAAGCCGCGGTCACGTGATGCAAGTCTGTTCCATTTAACCGTTTTCTTTGACCAAGGAAGGACAGTGTCCTCGTAAGCAAGGCGCCAGGCCTCGCAAGACATCGCCTCGCAAGGCCAGGCGCCTTGACATTGAGAAACATCCTTAGTGATCGATGCCCTTCCTTACTGAATGCTGCTCCGCTTGGCTCAGTTCTACTCAGCTCAACACGGTGGAGATCGTCTTTCCAACACAGCTCTCAGGCATTGTGTTTTGTTTTGATTGTGTGAGAATAATCACACAAAAAACAACGCAGCACAATAGCAGACACGGTGGTGATGTTAAGCATTCTGCTCAGTTTCTGGAATTTTGTTACTCTGAACCTGGAAATGGCAGCGAGACAGTGGGTGGAAAACTTTGAAGAAACCAGTGGCCCCGCCCTCTAGCCAACCAATGACCAACAGTTGCTGAAAACACGTTTTCGGCCTGGCCCAACATGCTTGGAACCACATCGAAGGAGGCGCCGAGAAGTTGGCAGCACACATGGACCGTTACTGGTGGAATGGCTGTCCAGCTAGACCAAGCTAATTTCATTCACGCCGAAGGAGGCTGTTAGAAAAGGAGCGCCGGTTGAAACCGTCCTTTCAAAAACGTGTTTCTCCTGAAGCCTCCTGACTCTGGCTTTGAGTCTGCAGGATGGGGCTCCAGCAGCTGATCCTATCACATTTCAGGTAAAACTTGACAAATTAGAATGTTGTGCAAAAGTTCATTAATTTTAACTTAAAAGGTGAAACTAATATGAGGTGGATATTTACATGCAAAGCCATTTCAGGCCTTTCCTTGTTGTGACTGTGATGATTATGGCTTTAGCTTTAAAAACTCCACAATCAAAGTGTCACACTCTAATCAGCCAATGAATCCAAAACACCTGCAAAGGGTTCCTGAGCCTTTAGACGGTCTCTCAGTCTAGAGACGGCTGAAATAATTGAACCATATTCACATTTTTCTGTTTTCACCTGTGAAAGTCTTCATTTAGGAAACTGAACTCTTATTGAAGCTTCATTTCTGGGCCTTGATCAGCAATGTTTCATTCCGTTGGATAAACTCTTATGAGTTATTTACATCGTTGAGTTCAGGTGTCAGATTTCTGTTGACCAAGCCTCATGCAACAATAACTCTTCCAGAACTGCTTGTTCTCTGTTTCCTCTGTTAAAGAGTTATGCTTTCATGTTTGAAGATTGTTTTCAGAATGCATAGCATCAAATCTATAATGTTAATAATAATTGACTGTTTTTGAAATGATGAATAAAAAGCCAAAATCTTTTTTTGCAGACGTTCCCTGAAAGGGGAAATGGTGAAGGAAGGTGGATCAAATGAATCCACGACCCTTCCATTCAGTTTTATTTTTATTTTATCAGTTATGAAACACGAAACAAGCTAACCTCTTCAATATGTATCTGAAGAGCTTCTGTAACAGCAGTCCATTAATTAGTTCTTTAATCATCAGCGTATTATTTTTAATGGGACAGCATGAATTATTTTTCCATTTTCAGATCTTGTACGGATCTGAAAACTGTTCACATCCAACAAGTCCCCTGTGGCATATTGTACTTGCTTACAAAATTAGCAGTTCTCAGAGGAAAAGTCTGAATGTCCAGAAAGAGACAATCGTATGACTTTAGTAGCAGAAGAGTCCAGTTGTTGCACATATGCATGGATGTAATTTTCACTTTAGAGGTGCAGGGGACGGGGGTCTTTACAGTATGTTCTAATGGGAAACCGGTTTCGACACAAACGGTTGTTTTCTGCTTGGTCCTAGAGCTCAACCAGTGTCAATTTAATATAAAGTAAAATTGTTTTTGGATGGTAAAAAGTGCAGGGGTCAAAACTTGACTTTGGAAAACGTGTGCATACCCCCCCACCCCCCCCCCCCCCACCCCCAAATTACGTCCATGCACACATGTACTTCATACCCCGCAGCGAGCCGCAGCGCAACACCACTCATGCTGTGGTCAATCCAACACGGCTGTGTCAAACTTGGAATACACGGATTTGTCTCCTCAGGAAGGCTCCAGGTGTCTACTCCGTCTGCAGATCTGTGGTACAGTACAGGTGGCTGCTGCAGGCTCTCTGTGGGTCAGAACCAGAACCGAGTCTCAGTAAAGCCTTGTCCCTGAAACGCATCAGGACCCAGAGGAAACCAACCCTTTGCGGTGGATCACCTGGTTTGTGTTGTGAAAACGTGCTACCTGTGCTGCTGACAGGTTTGGGTTTGGGTTCTTGTGGTGATCTAAGGTCATACGGCTTCACTCGAACGTTTGAGCTTCAGAACCACGATGTCTGAGACGAAACGTGACTCAGGCTGGAAAACAACCCAGTTGGACAAAAACTGGTAAGGTTTTTTATTCTCGGCCGTCAAAAACAAAAGTAGCGCTCCTGTCCTCACAAAAATGAAAACCAAGCAGCTTTACAGCCGAAGAGGAGTGAGGGGGTGGCTGCGCTACTGAAGCGTTTTATGAATGAAAGTCAGGGTGGTGACGTCAATGGGCACCACTTGACGCATTCGTGTCATGTGGGTCTGAGACGACGGTCCAGAGCCGCAGCGGGTCTGGTCCTACAACAGGAGCTGTCGGAGCGCGATCCTGAGGCGCGAACCGGTAGATAAACCAGCAACAGGCGGGAACCAGCTGCTGTAGGTGGGCCACATCACGAAGCTCTGAGCCGAGGAGGAGGACAACCCGAGTCCCTGGAGGTAGGTGGTACCTGAAGGAGTCTACAGCAGCAGGTTTAGTTCCCCTGACGGTTGGAACCATCATCATCACCTCCATCTCCATCATGAAGGTTTTTATGGCACCAACCTAATTAAATGCAGATTCATTTGCTCATGCTCTCAGTGGATTTGTGTATTTTCTTAAGTCAGCCCTGCAGTGGAGTGCTGATCCTGTGAATCAGGATCTTAATCCGGGATTTGTGAGAAAAACAAAAGAAAACGTTCCAACTGAAAATCTATTTAAAAAAAAAAGAGTTAGAATCAACAATATGAGTTGGCCTGGCGAGCCATCCTATGTATACAGTCTAGCCACGACCCATAGACAGATCTCAGTTGTGGGGCGAAATGTGTTTGCCTTTCAATCTGTCTGCATGCTATTGGACAATAAACAATGTGGATGTCAGCCAATGGGGTAGTCTGCCATACACATGTAGAAGACATAAATACATACTTTTTCTGAATAAGGATTTAAAGCTGTTATATCCAAGCCTCCACAATGCGGGACAGAAATTGAGTCCAATGTGGAAGTGAAATAAATTGCAGTTCCACCGTCATCCACTAGGGCTGGTGTCAGTCAAACTATGTTTTCCACCCGGTTCTCCCCTACCCGCAGCTCGGCGCATCTCTGGTCGCCGCAGCTTCTGTCTGCTGCGCGGGCTGCCGGCTTGTGGAGCTCTGGGATGGAAACCTTTCCACCCGGTTCTCCCCAGCGGCAGCTCTGCGCATCTCAGATTGCAGCGGCGCTTGTCTGCTGTGCGGCTGCCGGCTTGTGGAGCTCTCGGGAGACCTCTGTGTTCCACCCGGTTTTACCCAGCGGTCAGCCCGGCGTATCTCTGGCTCAGAAGCTCTGGTGTTGTGCACAGTTAACTCCAGTTGTAGCTAGGTTGCTACCTCCGTTAGCTTAGCTCCCACCTCCGCGTTAGCTTTGGGTTAGCTTCAGGTTAGCTTGTAGCGAGTTCGACCGGGTGTCGTCAGTTGATCCCAGTCTTACAGCCCCACCCTCAGCTCCTCCTCTCTTCCCTTTTGTGGAATTGTCTGGGCTTGACGGAACCTGTGACACGGTCAAAATGGCGGTGGTGGCCACCTCCCATTTTTCTTCAAAAACGTGTTATTGGAGCCTATGGAAACCCATTGTCCATATATGTATATGTCGATGGTTATATCTCATCGAACAAGCTAGGTTTTGAACGCAAACACGGTCATGGAACACTCACCTCTCCCCTCGGCAGTGTTGTGTTGTGTCCCGAACACGTTCATTGAACGATCATCTGTGAACTCGTTCGTTTTGAACTCGTTCGTTTTTTTTTTTTTTTTTTGTGAACGCGAACTGTACTGGTTCGTATTTTCCCTGACAAAGGTTAAAGTAGTGAGTGCATTCATTCTGGCATGCACAAACGGGTTTATGAATGTGTTCTTTTGACGTTCGAGCTCCAGATCTCCACAGAGCTAAAGCCTAGCTAAAACTTCCTGTTAACCATAGAATGTATAGAGCTCCGGGAGTTGACGTCACTTCTCCTAGCATGCAACAGCTCAAATCGAAGCAGCGCCATCTTGGCCCGCATATTTGTTATTGTCAGGAAACTCAAACGGGAAATTGTGCCCCAGGATGCCAGAACTGACGTGGACGAGATAAGAAAAGAGCCTGAGATTCCCCAAGATCCGGAACGCCGCAAACGTTGGATCATTGTAATAAAACACGCTAGTGACCGGGCTAAAATGAAGCTGTGGGATCCCGAGAGTAAAGATTTTCACTTAAGCAGCGACCGCTTCATATCAGGTACTTAAACCAACGTTTCCTCAACTGTGTATGGTATTTATTTTAAATGCTTTTATTACGATTCTTAGTGGGCTTCCTAAACTTATTTTGGCGAGGCTTTTTCTGTCTTATTACTCATAGCAACAAGTAAACGTCACGTAAAACGTTGCCTCGTGAGTTCTGCGTGCTGCCGTTTACGTGTTTTATGATCACAGCAATTAACCGGCTAAGCTGTATTTAATTTTTAAGCAATGGTTGATCAATTGTCAGATCACACATAAAAAGCACTTTGGATTGCTATTATCTGTCTCACCGAGTCAGATCTCAGACAGATCCTGAGACGCTCCTGCCTGACATATTTATTTTATTCACGGAAAAAAATCAGACTAGTGATTTCTCTTGGCGTTCAGTTTATACATTCAAACAGCACAGCACTCTATTTAAACTACTTACATGAAAATCTGTTATTTGTCCATCCATCCATCCATTTTCATCCGCTTATCCGGAGTCGGGTTGCGGGGGCAGTAGCCTAAGTCGAGAGGCCCAGACTTCCCTCTCCCCAGCCACTTGGGCCAGCTCGTCCGGGGGAATCCCAAGGGGTTCCCTGGCCAGGTCCGGTAAGAAGTCCGCTCCGACAGCTTCTGGCATTTTTAAAAAGTATCCCAGGGGCACGGTAAGGGTCGGAGATGTTTAGTCTATTTAATTTCTGACTATATAAAATGATTTTTTCGGTTTTAAAGTGTGAAGTAAACTCAAACGGAGTAAAATCCAAGCCTATCCCGTTCATTTTGTTTACCTTTGTTGCCTGCCAACATGGCGTCTACTCTCTGAGAGTCACGTGACATCCGGAGCTCTATACAAAGTAGAATGCACAAACGCGGCCACCATAGGCAGTAGCTATCAGAACGTCGTCTACTCTTCTCTGCCCGTGCTGCGTGGAGAACGGACGTCATGGTGCGTTCCTTTTACATCCATTTTAGATGCACCCTCCTTAAAAGTATCTTGTAAAATAAACACGTTTCCACCACAATTTCTATTGTTATTATCTGACTCTGGGGGTTGTTCGTGTTCATTATTTCTTTTCGGAAGTTGAAATTTCCGTCTATGGAATTAACTGGAATGAACCGGGAAAAACAAACAAACCTGAAAGCACTAGTCACGGAGTTGCACAGGTAATATTCATTTATTTATTTATATGTTTTGTTTTTTTACTAAATAATTTGGGGCCGATTGTTGCTCTTTACGGCCCAAGCTCTATAACTTTTTCTTTGGGCAAACAAGTGAGAAAATTCACAGAATTTGAGATGTTCCTTAATTTAAAGATAATTAAATTCTTTGCACTCTGAAAATTGCAATTTGAGGTACACCCTTGTTTCTCATCTCAGCCTAGTTCTTCCCTCTGGTTTTGCTATATATATATAGTGAAGATCCACAATAGGTCCAAATGTTTTTAGTTGTCCGTGACCTCAAATAGTGTTTTTCTTATTGAGACTCGGGTAGTTTGTCCTGAAGATGAAGTGGTAGCACCCTGCTGTTTCTTCTTCTCTGGTATTGTTGAGCAGAGAACCTCTCACACATGTGATGCTCTGTTGCTAAATGCGCGAGTGCAAAATGAATGGCGGACCCAGGAAAGTGTGGCGGTTTGGCTGGACCGTCAACTGGATGGTCCAATAGTTGCTTTCGGTCTAAAATGTTTATTGGCTGAGGTTTAATGGTTTTTTTTAATCTTCACCATATATGTATATCAATACTGTTAGAAGGTTGTTAAGAGGCATGAAAAAAATATTTCAGCAAAATCTGTTTCCAAATGTGAGCTATTGCAACTTAAAGAGCAAGTCACCCCCTACCAGAGTCTTACTCCACTTCCAATTTCTGTTTGAAAAATGCACAAGAGACATTACCTGGCAGGCTGAGATGGTGGAGCCGCTAGCAAATATACACACACACACGCAGGCTAACAGCGGCATTGTTACATCATATGGTACCAGCTAACGTCATAGCCAATAGCAATGGCAGTTTTAAATTCAAATGTAGTGCAGAGTTTTTACCTACAAAGTGTGCAACACTGACAGTTTTAGAGAGAATATTTAAATTGTAACTAAGATGCCAAATTATTGACTACATGTGTCTACGAGCCGATTAGAAACTCGTTTATATATTTTTTATCAGCAAAAACGGATGATTTGGGGGTGACTTACTCTTTAAACATCTCTATCTGCTCTGTGACTCAAAGAAAAGTCCAAATTTGATGCCAAAGATGTTTCAGATGAGGTATTGCCATCTTAGTTTTTTTTTTCGCCCAGTCACATTAACGTCCCGCCCACCAAACAGATTGAGCATTGTGATTGGCTCAGCAAACTGATAGAGTGCTGTGATTGGCAAGACACAAGACTAGGTCTGCTGAGGCTCAAATGGAGTGTGGCTAGACCGACCTGCACAGCAGAATCATGTAGCTTGCCCTACGGTCTTTCTGCGCTAAACATGATCAGCTGTGGAGCAAACTGTTCTTTTTCCCTGAGAAAAAATAAATAAACAGTGAAGTTATGTAACTTGTTCAGTTTTTAACTTTGATTCTGTTGCTGTTCAGACTCTTAACCAATCATTCAGTTTATTAACTGGGTTTACAAAATTGCATCGTTGAATCCCAAACACGTGCTCTTACATGACTTACTGCACACGTATAGAAAAGGGAGCAGAAAATCTAAAAACCAGCTTCTTTCTCAATGTTTACAAAATATGTGTCATGTTTTAACTTACAGTGTAAATATAGTCTCTCTGTTATTAACCTGTAAGCTAATATTTTTGTCTTGTGTGCTGAATGTATTAATGGTTGTACATGTCATGAACTCCGTTTGCAAATAGTTCAGCGGTTTAATTCCACGTATAAATGTACACATTTATAGTTTATTGGCTCCATCTGTTTGCACCTCATGGTTCTAAATGGGACATTTAACTTTATATAAGTTTAAATCTGAAAACCTCTCATTTCTCTTTCTGTTGTCCTCTAAAGCAGTGCAGCGTGTGCACACGGCGCTCTGCAAGGCTTAGCAGCAACTGAAAGGGAGACAAAACCACGCAGAAAAGCATCCGATTACATGCATGACAGGTGAACAATTAACTTCTATGAATGAATGAAAAACATGAAAATGAATCAGTAATCAGGAAAATAGGAAGAAATGTCATTTCTGACCTCTGCTGACCTAAAGGAAACATGCTTTTAATTTAGACACGGTTGACAACCACTAAAACAAGGCATTTTGGAAGGCTTGGCCCACGCAGTCTCTATAGGTTTAGTTTGAAGTCTGACAAAATCTTCATACAAATGGATTTTCTTCTGGCATGATTTTTGCAGTTCCTTCGTCATCAATTCAATTCAATTCAAGGTTATTTATAAAGCGCCAAATCACGACAAGAGTCGTCTCAAGGCACTTCACATAATAAACATTCCAATTCACAGTTCATTAAGCCAATCAGAAATAATGTTTCCTATATAAGGAACCCAGCAAATTGCATCGAGTCACTGACTAGTGTCAGTGACTATACAGCAATCCTCATACTAAGCAAGCATGCAGCGACAGTGGAGAGGAAAACTCCCTTTTAACAGGAAGAAACCTCCAGAGAATCCTGGCTCAGTATAAGCAGCCATCCTCCACGACTCACTGGGGATCGAGAAGATAGAGCACACACACGCACACACACACACACACACACACACACACACACACACACACACGCACACACACACACACACACACACACACACGGTTACATTGTGATTGCTTAGTAAATATTCTATTTGGTGAGAGATAAACTTTATTGTATTTATCCTAGTGGATCTGTAATTAAACAGGTAAACTAGTAGTAGCACATCCAACGTCAAAGAAAGTAAAAGTTATTATCAGGAGAGGGAGAATGTTTAAGTGGTTAGCAGCAGTGTGCTAGACGATGGCCCCCTCCATGAGGCAACCACAGCTCAGCAGAACATCATTGTAGCTTCTTCTGGGGAGAAAAACGTGGTTTCACACTAACATTTATATTTGAACACACCAGTGGAAAATGCTGCCCTTTTCATGATTGATGCATTTAGAAACGTATAGACCACATTCACATCCTTCACATATGGGCCATTCCCACCTGTACCGGGTCGGCCCGGGCCGGGTAGCGTAGGTTGTTTACATATCTGGGTGGCCTGGTATTTTTCCGGGCCAACCAAGGCTCATTCTCAGCCCTCTTCTCGAGGGGGTCTGCTTCAGGCCGACCAGGGCCAACACACCCACTGCTGACAGCAAATTCACACCTTCCATTAGAGCAAGCCTCTGATTGGTGGGTAGAATCAGCCCACATGGGCTTAAGACAAGGATGTGTGGAATCAACCGGGCCAGGCTGGGGCCGACTGGGGCTACCCGGCCCGGGCCGACCCGGTACAGAGGGGAATGGCCCAATACAAGCCCCACTAAGCTTCCCCTTTAACAAGTATTACAAAGCTGACCTCATTCTAGAATGCTTTCTCTAAAATAAAACGAGGGAACAGACGACGTCGCGACGTCTCTCAGATGCTTTAGAGATCCTGTGGGGCGTGAGGCCTCAATGACCTTCTTCCATTAATTGAGTCCTTATTAATGCTTGGGCGGGGTATATTGAATCTACTGCAGGCTAAAAATGAGGCTGATCTGAGATCTCGTGTTTTTCTAGGTGCAACTCATCCCAGAACCTGTTCTGTCCGGCCATGACAAGATTCCACTGTAGCTCAAGTGTCCTAACCGTCCTGGTCATCCTCCTGTCCCGTTTCTCCTCTTCCACAACCGACAGCATCACCGCCCTTGGAGATGCTAATAACCATCACGGAGGTGATCTCCCTTGGCTTCCAGTGTTGGAAAACATGGAGGGAAGGCTGGAGCAGAGACAAGAAGTTCTTGAAAGTCAAGAAAAGGAAGGGCAGGAGCTCTTTAAAAATGTTGATCCGAAAAGATTAGCAGCCGTTTTGCTGGAAGCACTGAATAGCTATCATCCTGAACAGGAGAGAGGGACACATGATGAGGAGCGCAATAGGATTGAAGAAGATGGGGAGAACGTTACGAAAGAAGAGGCATACGGGCAGAGAGCAGACAGAGATGGACGGCAGGAGTTGGAGATGTGGATGGCTTTGAATGGGAAGGAGAGAGAAAGAGATCGGGAAGAAGAAAGAAGGAAAGCTCGGGAAGAGGAGGAGAAAATAACTGAAAAGGTGACGAGTCATACATCGAGCCGCGTGGTCCAGATCGAAACTGAGCCGAAGCAAAGTGGTCCTAATGAAACGGCCGAAAGCGGTACTGCTTCCCAGCAAGAGACATCCAGCCCTGAGCAAGGACGCAACCAGGAGGAGGAGCAGCTCAGCTCCAAGGAGCTTAAGAGTCTTGAGAATGTGATGAAAGAGTTTCCTCGCCTGGACACTAAAAGAGATGATTCTGAGCAGCAGCTGAGGGAGAGCAGAGCTTTCAGCAGCTACAACGACATCCGGCCAGGACCAGGACTCGCCTTGTCCAAGAAAAAACTCAAATGGCAGGAAGAGACTCAGAAAGCGCTGCATTTCCCAACATTTAAAGAGCACAATTATTTAGATCAGTCTATGGACGACAATTATACCAACAAAACAGCACAGTCGATGTCTCCGGTAGAGCAGGAGGTGACGGCAGAGGATGGCTCAGAAGAAGCAGAGGAGGCGCTGAGTCCAGAGGAGGAGGAAGCTCAAGCCAGAGTGGAGCAGGAGGAAATGATCAGGCAAGCAGCGGAAGCCCAACGAGCCAAGACGAAAGAGGAGGAGTTGGCTGACGTTGCTTCAGACATGCTGCTGCGTTATGTGGTCAAACAGAATAACATGAACAGGAAGCATGGCTCGTCTGTGTTCTACGCTGCAGAAGACAAAAGGTCCAACGAGGAGCTGGACATCACTGAGGACGACCTTGATCCTCAGACCATTGACAAGCTGATTGAGATCTCTAGCAAGCTCCATCTCCCTGCTGATGATGTGGTGGACATTATCACTGACGTTGAGAAGAAGAAGAAAAAGAAGAAAGACATGCTGCCTGAGATAGCATCGCCTTTGCGCACTTCCCCCTCTTCGTTTCTTTCTGCATGGCAAATTTTGAACAATAAGAATAGTTTCTCAGTGTCTAAGCAACCATCTCCTGCTAAAGATCTTTCTAAAATCTGGTTTCAAGAGATGAAACCAGAAGGTTTTCAGACAAAATCATCCACATCTTCCCTAGCCAATCAAAGTTTCTTGCCGAAACCCGAGAAGTCGTTCAAACAGGACCACTGGATCAAGTCTCCAAAGTCTCTGTGGGCTGCCTACCCTTATCGCTCCTTCACTTACCCATCCTACTACCACAGGAAGCCCTTTTTGGACAACTACCCATTTTCTATCCCTCCTCTCCCCAGACCTAAACATTATTACATGTCTAATCCGGCTCTCACACTCAACAACTACCCAGGTACTTCCACTGGTGACTTGTCTCCTAAAAGGCGTTATCGCAGCCGAGTCCAATTACAGTCACCTCACTCGCACCTTCAACAGAAGTCTTACTTCAGATATCACCCCCCAGTATACCCCTTGCAATTTCAGCAATACTTTATCCCCAGAGTCAAGCCCCCTTCCCAAACAGGGCCCAGCCCGTCTCAGCTGTACACGTCAGGTCTGGGACCAACAGGGACCAAGAAACAAAATGATTTGGAGACTGGAAAGTCAAACAGAATCATTCATGGTGATCTGGAGAAATACATTCAGCAAACTCTCATGAACAGACAGCAGATGCGGGGCTGAGGGACGGGTGGAAGCACAGGAAGATCGAATGTGAAGAAAAAAAGGACGCATATTTTTTTAAGATTGATGTCATTGTTGGCTAACTTCTCTGTTTGTGATTTGGATGTGATTTACATGTGTAGAAGTGCAGATGTTGGATGACCCGATAGAAACCATTGCACAACCAATGATCAATCAAATCAAAGATACTTTATTAATCCCAGAGGGAAAATAGAGTTTCAGTACACACAATTCAGAGATCAGACATACATGGGCAAGACACATGACAAGAATTGGTGACTGTGGTCATTCGCAACCCTGAGTCGTGCTACCTTAATAGAGATCAGAGGGTTACATGAGGATTGGTTCAGGTGGAGGGAAAAAAGGCACTTCAGAGCAGGAGGGCAGCTTTGCTCTGCAAAAAAAATAACCCACCCCAAACAGATATGCAACAGACTTCAGACAACACAACATAAGTGTCCACTAGGTGGGGTGGTGGGTTGGGACTATCCCCACTTCAGTTCCTGCAGCCACCATAAGCAGCGCATGTCACCTCAGTGTGGATAGGGGGAGGAGCATTG